CATGATCAACCAAAACTTATAATTTTTGCCATATATCCTCTAGACGGCTTCGGTGGTACTTTTGCTTTCTTTTATTATAATCAGTACGTTCTAGACGAGAAATTGAGAACATAGTCGATCGATGTATGCATGGTGATTCGTTGAGAAGACTATCTAATTTTTTCTGGTGATTGTCCTTTTCCGATGGTGATTAACTGATATGTTCCGTTTTAGTGTTTGTTAGGCGACGTTTTTCTATAGAAATTCTGATGAATCATTTATGCAGGTTTTGCTATGTGATTCTATATATCCAATTATAAGAAGACACCATTTTTGACACTAAAACGAAGATTTGTAATTCCGTAAAAAAGAAGATGCCAAATTATGATCTGCTGTTGTCTAATCCTAACGGAAACATGAATATATGGTTTTGACTATAAATTTTTACGAAAATTATAGTTGTGATTGTTTTCGGTTTTTATTTGGTGTTTTCGCTCATTTTATAAGGCATGTATTGTCAAAGAAGTAATCTAAGACAATATATTATATTCCAAGTTAGTATTTTGCTTATGGAAATTATATAGAACTTGAAAATTTGTGAATCATGATATTTATCAAATCCAATAACATAAAAAAAATAATGCATAATTTAACAGCCGTGATTTAAAGAACAGTGAAATTACTAAAGTTAGTAATTTGCTTATGGAAATTATGTAGAACGTGAAAATTCTTTAGATTTATATTCTATAAATTTTGAAAAACGCCCCTAAAATAGGATACACAACTAGTCGACCTTGTAGTGAACGAGCTTGTACATAACGGACCAATCGAGGTAAGTTGTAACCGACTATTTAATTTGGCCCAAAATTAGAAAGAAAACAAAAACATTTATATGAGTGTGATATAAGAAAATACTGAATAGCGCACAGTTATTCAAAGCCCACAGTTTCACTCAAGTTTCAAATGGTGGTTTTTGTAACTTAAATCACAGTTTGTTTACAAATATGAAAAAGCAAAAATTCTTAGAGCATGATCAACCTAAGTCTTTTATAGAGTATCTAACTAATTAAAAAATAAAATAAAATGAAAAAACAAGGGAAAGACGTATCGAATGTGAGAAACATTTTTTATTATTTTGAGATTTCAATACTATATGTTCTATTATCATTGGTTGACAATGTTATATATTTCCAAAATTAATTAAACTAAATAGAAGTGATTAAAATATACTAGTATTTAAGAGATCTATTAGCGTCTTACTGTTAATCATGCTCTTATAACTCAGAAACATATTGTCATTCTTTTTACTTAATAGAAGTGTTTTAGGAATTTTTTTAGTTGTTGGGTTTAGAACGTAATCAAAATAAAACCGAATATGTATAACTTTTGGTTCAACTTTAGATCTCAAATGATTTCAGTTTAAATTTAGCTTTTAATCAAATAAACTTCAAATTTATAAAATAAATTTACTTTCTCTTCAGTTTTTATTGGTTTGATTATGTTAGAACTATGTTTCAGTATCTAAAATATAAAAGATATAATTTAGTTCGGTTCAAATATTAACGCAAATCAGTTTAGTTTTCTGTACATATTTTTTTCGCTTCAAATAAAGATATTTGACCAAAAATAGCGTATATTAAAAAAATTTAGTAAAAATAATTCAGTTAATGATGAAAAGATTGTAAAAAATGATCACAAAGTATATAATTGAATTATAGTTTGCATAAAAATATCTTATACAACGAACTTAGAAAACTTTAAAGAGTTTATATATATATGTATTCTTTATGTTTCATCATGTTCCGTTGTTCCACATGAAACAGACAACTAACATTTGTCAAATTTTATGTTTGTATATGTTATGTAATTGAATGAAGTTCTGACTTTTTAGGTATCCCAATGCTCTTGAGTCTATATAGTCTCTTTTCTTTTAGTTTTAGCCACACATTTTTTTTCAACTCGCCTTTTTGATTTTTACTTAAAAGATACGTTTTTTCATATATATCTCAGTGGGGAAGAAACTAATTTGAAATCTCTTGCGTTATATACAAAATGATTGAAATAATTGCCTCTACTTTCTTAGTTTACCATGATTAAAGAAAATTGTGGTAGTTAGTACTTGTTGAATCATTCAATTTTTATTAGTCCGACACAAGATAAACTTAAGATCGTGCTCGTGAAAACGCTTTTTCCATTTCACGTGTCTTGTTAACTTTTTTTTTATCAAAAGATTGGTTTTCATTCACTTAAACCGGGGATTGAACCGTGTCTTGTAAACTAAAAGCGCTGTTTTAAATAATTAACGTATTTTAATAATATTATTATTGCATTGCTTTGGCCAAAATGATATATTTTTTTGGCCAAATTGCTTTGGCCAAAATGATATTTTGTGTGCCATATTGATATTTTTTACATATCAAAGATAAATTATCCCATTACTACTTTCTCCATTTTACTTTGATTTTTTACATGTATTTACAAAATTATAATGACATTTTTATTAACATAATATGGTTTCTCAAATAAAATTAAATATTTAGATGTTTTATAGAATTCTATATGTAACACAAAACGTTACATAGTTTTTGTTGGTACAAGATAATAACAAAGTAAAAAACAGTATAAACAGTGATTAAAAAAGATCAATATAGAAAAGATAAAAGCATCCTTACATTTGTTATTTATATAAGAGGTGGTACATCAATCAGAGTTATGAAATAACGTGCGTTGAAGATATAAAAAAAAAGATATAAAAAGATGACTTTTGTAAAACAAAAATAGAACGTCAAAAAAAAAAAAAGAATTCTAAAGCGACTATTGATACGAGTAGGATGGATTAGGTTTAGGAGGATAAGCCAAAAAAATATTCTTTATCTACGAAGGACAAGTCATTAAAATTGTGTACCAAGATTCGAGATATACACGCATTCTTTTTTATGAAAAATGTTATAGTTCAAAAACAACATACATACTTTAAAATGGCAGAGTATTGAACTTGTAATCAAATAATTGAATGTAAAAAAAAAAAAAAAATCTTTAGACTCATCACTAAGACGAAAATAATTGTTGGACTCTGTGTTGTTTTTTACTTTTTGTTGGTCCTTTGATTCCATGATTCTATCCTTCTTATTCTTCAAAAGTGATTCTTTATAATAATGTGCTTTCTTTTTGTTTGTAGCCAAAGAACTTCGTCTAATTACAACGACG